CAGAAAAGCCGTCGCCAGAGCCACGGGCTCACTCTAGGCGAGAGTGAAAGCCATGACGGTGAATCCTTGGATGGTGAATCGTTGGAGGAGGAGATTGATCTGGAAAGCATGAGCACTACCAAAGCCACCCCGGCCAAGTTCAGCACGGCCACATCAGACCCCCAATTTGCCTCTCGTGCCAAGGCTCCCACGCAAACTGTTAACAGTCCCAAGTCAAATCTACCACCGATGCTTGCTTACGTCCAAAAGGGTGCAGCGCCTTTTGTTCGACGGGTTGATTCATCTGCCGTCCTTCTCTCTACCTCTCTCCATCTTGCTAAGCTGGAATCCATTGAAGAGGTTGGCCGAGTTGCTTCGTCGGCATTCGCTCACGCCTCCAAGGTGGCGAACACAGCTAGCATCGCGCAACGTTGTACCGTCACAAGGAACGACTGTCTAGTGGATAACAACACGACGATTGAGGAGAAGTGTGTGATCAAGGAGACTATCATCGGTGCCAACTGCCATATCGCCAGCGGTGCTCGGCTGACTCGTTGTTTGATCATGGACGGTGCCGTTGTTGGCGAGCGCTGTCAGTTAACAGGTACAATTGTTGGACGCCGCAGTAAGATTGGCCGGGAAACCGTACTGAAGGATTGCGAGGTTCAGGACGGAAATGTCGTTCCTGACGACACTGATGCCAAAAACGAAAAGTTCATGATCTTTGAGGGTATTGACGATGAAGATGACATGGATGGTTCGGAGGATGACCAAGATTTTTGATTCTAAATATATTTATCTTGGCTGAATGTTCATGAGATAAGATCTATAAGATCAGGTAGATGAAAAATTAGAATTTATACCCCTGCGTCCACCAGGTTATAAAAGTTGAAAGCCTGGCATCCGAGGCAGAGATACAGTCTTAAATGGCTCTGGAAATGACCCGACAATATCAGGCGTGATCCGAGCAAGGCGGGCTAAGCGGCTCAAAAATACCACGGTACAAACGCCTAGTGTATTGCCAATAGTCAATCCGCTCCACCTCGTGCTCCCCCGGATGCATGCTCCAATTTAGTACTCCATACTCCTTACTTACACCACCGCAATGCTGGCGCAAGCACGGGATTTTTTGGGGCATTATCTTGGTTGTGGGGATGTTAGTACATTGGCAAACTGCATAAACTATGCTCCGCACGAATGAGCAGTTTTGAATGCCTTTCTCAGGAACTTGTGGCATCCACCCATCAGACATCAGGCCATAAGGTGTGGATGCGGGATTTGGATAGGGTGCCACAAGGGCAGCATATGGATACTATCTGAGGTGGAAAGATTTGATTAATCATCAGATTTTGAGGTCTAAGGGGGGAGCGTGTCTTCTCCGCATTTCCTTCACGACGGTCCTTGGCCAGTGCCCGAAATAGCCCCTGATCGGCCACATAGCACCGTGCATATTATCGAGGGTTGCCCCATAGATTAGGAGATTAGATTTCGGCGTACAGAGCGCTGGGAGTAAATGAAATTGGGAGGGGGGGGGGCGTTAGAATGCTAAATCCCTATTGCT